GGGCACTTCTAATGTAACTCTATGGCAGCACCCAAGGGGCTTGAATTTTCGAGCTCTACCCTTAGATTTGGTGGTGACATAGTGTCCCCATGAGTGACAGAACACTGAGCCAATCACAGTGCAACTAGAGAACATTACCAACCCTTACGCTCCGTATTTTCCACTGGCTGCCCCACCACCACAGAAAGCACTGAGCTAGGCTGAAACACCTGCATTTTGGAGCTGCCTTACTCAAGAAACCAAAAAAAGAGACCATGTTTGTATGCGGCTTTATTAACTCAATTATACTTTTTTACGTTGTTTGCAAACTGATATGTGACACGTATTAATGCCAAAATAACATGCAAAACAGGCAACCCCCCAAAAAAGTATTATTAATATTATTTATTTATTTTGCTAAAAATGTGGGGCTCAACATAGGTGCCCTGATTGACGGGTCGCCACTGTATACATAGCAGCCACGGTAGTGTATCTGGAGGGGTGCATACAAATTATTGCCTCTGTTTAGATTAACACGTTTTATCCTATGTAATTTTGGATTCAGTCCCTTGTGGATAGTGGGATTTCATATTTCTATATTCATACTGAATCAAAAGGCTATAATTCAATTTTGACTGTCACAACACATACATTTTTTCCCCAAATAGTCACTTCTGCATGGACTTAACCAAACAACAAATTGCATTTTCCATTTATGTATTGAAGTTACATTTACGATTTTTATGCTGCTAAAAGCAGTAGTACTAGTTTTTAAGAAGGGTCTAGATGGGATGTGCAAACTAACAACGACAATGCTGCCCTCTGCAGGATAAATGTTTTGTCAAAGCATTGAAGATAATGCATGTATACTACCGTACCTTTAGGGGCACATACAGGGCACAGAGAAAGGTCCCTATGGAATAACCCAAGTGTCGTCTCATTCTGATCAAATTTGCCACAATTTATAATAATCATTGGTAATCAAAGAAAGTAAAGTAAAAATAAACAGCTAAATGTAAACAGCTACGTTCTGGTGGTGCTACAGAGTTAAAATATCTGCAGTTATTTCAACCTGACTTACTATCATTTAGCATTTCCTGAATTACTTTAATATTTAATATTTTAGTGGAGATGCCATTGCACCTCTTGATGGCAGCATCCCACTTTTCCAGGATGCCTTTCTCTAGCAGTGGGTGGCAGGCTGGGCCTGGGGGCCAGAAAACTATTGGAGAGGAAGCAGATACGGAGAGAGAGAGAGAGAGAGAGAGAGAGAGAGAGAGAGAGAGAGAGCGCGGAGAGAGAGAGAGGAGAGAGAGAGAGAGAGAGAGAGATGAGACGGAGAGGAGAGAGAGAGAGAGAGAGAGAGAGAGAGAGAGAGGAGAGAGGGAGAGAGAGAGGAGAGGGGGGGGGGGGTTGGGGGGGGGGGGGTGGGATGAGAGCCACAAGAAAAGGGCAACCAGTGAAGAACAAACACCATTGTAAATACAACCCATATTTATGTTTATTTATTTTCCCATTTGTACTTTAACTATTTGCACATTGTTACAACACTGTACATATACATAACATGACATTTGAAATGTTTTATTATTTTTGAACTTTTGTGAGTGTAATGTTTACTGTTAATATCTATTGTTTATTTCACTTTTGTTTACTATCTACAGTACTTCACTTGCTTTGGCAATGTTAACATATGTTTCCCATGCCAATAAAGCCCTTAAATTGAAATTGAATTGAATTGAGAGAGAGAGAGAGAGAGAGAGAGAGAGAGAGAGAGAGAGAGAGAGAGAGAGAGAGAGAGAGAGAGAGAGAGAGAGAGAGCGAGAGAGAGAGTTTGTTCTCATTCCCCTTACATAATTATAGTGACACATTATCAATTGAAGATTAGGATTTAAGAATCATTTTGTAATACTGGTGACACAAAAATATTCACACACTTTTGATAATGATGCAATCAGTTGCAAAGTGGCAAACTATTCAACCAGTCAGGAACCTGGCCAATTGTTATTAATTTACAGCTCATTATATCCAATAATTTTCAGTCTATTATTCTTACAAGGTCAAGAAGTTAACCATGTTCCTCAGTGCACTTAGTGATCAAGATCTTAGTTTAAACCCCCCACCAGAGTTCACATGAGCAATCAGTATTAATTTGTGATCTGTCATTCACCTCACTCAGAGATGCTGGGAAATACTTAATTTAGAGAGATGGGAACAGCTTGTCGTGTGAGTCACTGGAAGCGCTCTCATACTGAGCTTCATTGCAGTCTAATCAACCTTATTGTCGTGTCTGCTGTCTGCTCCTGTTGTACAGCCGCCATGGTGCATGTCTGTGATAAAGAATGACCTGTCCGGGCTGTGAGTTTTGATCCAGTGACCACACCAATCACTCATGCTCGTTTCCCATCTGGCTGCACCACTACTTGCCTCGTAACTCAGTATAAAGTCAGATGACATTGAATCCAGCTCATTCTCCTCTAAAGCATGAAAACAATGTCTGCCTCAATCTGTACTGTAATTTTAAGGGTAAGGGTAATTTCTAGAGCATAAAATATTTTCTCAAAGAAATACACATTGGGCATCTTTTACATCCTTTCCAATTAAAACAAACATGTTTTACTTTCGGGACCATACAGTGCACAAAGCAGTGCCTGAAGCCCTTTTTATGGACAGTGCTGTCATTGTCTGAGGGGTTCATTTGAGAGCTCTTGTGGAAATGGGAGTGGAATTCCTGAGTTTTCTTTTTGATTTCATGTTGTCCAAAAGCAACAGTTCTGTAGGACATTAATAATCTACAGTACCAGTCAAAAGTTTGGACACACCTACTCATTCAAGGGTTTTTCTTTATTTTTACTATTTTCTACATTTAAGAATAATAGTGAAGACATCAAAACTATGAAACAACACATGTGGAATCATGTAGTAACCAAAAAAGTGTTAAACAAACCAAAATATATTTTATATTTGAGATTCTTCAAATAGCCACCCTTTGCCTTGATGACAGCTTTGCACACTCTTGGCATTCTCTCAACCAGCTTCACCTGGAATGCTTTTCCAACAGTCTTGAAGGAGTTCCCACATATGCTGAGCACTTGTTGGCTGCTTTTCTGCCGTCCGACTCATCCCAAACCATCTCAATTGGTTTGAGGTCGGGGATTGTGGAGGCCAGGTCATCTGATGCAGCACTCCATCACTCTTCTTCTTGGTCAAATAGCTCTTACACAGCCTGGAGGTGTGTTGGGTCATTGTCCTGTTGAAAAACAAATGATAGTCCCACTAAGCCCAAACCAGATGGGATGGCATATCGCTGTAGAATGCTGTGGTAGCCATGCTGGTTAAGTGTGCCTTGAATTCTAAATTAATCACAGACAGTGTCACCAGCAAAGCACCACCACACCATAACACCTCCTCCTCCATGCTTTACGGTGGGAGGTACACATGCGGAGATCATCCGTTCAACCACACCGCGTCTCACAAAGACACGAAGGTTGGAACCAAAAATCTCCAATTTGGACTCCAGACTAAAGGACACATTTCCACCGGTCTAATGTCCATTGCTCCTGTTTCTTGGCCCAAGCAAGTCTCTTCTTCTTATTGGTGTCCTTTAGTAATGGTTTCTTTGCAGCAATTCGACCATTAAGGCCTGATTCACACAGTCTCCTCTGAACAGTTGATGTTGAGATGTGTCTGTTACTTGAACTCTGTGAAGCATTTATTTGGGCTGCAATATCTGAGGCTGGTAACTCTAATGAACTTATCCTCTGCAGCCGAGGTAACTCTGGGTCTTCCATTCTTGTGGTGGTCCTCATGAGAGCCAGTTTCAGGTGGCTATTTGAATAATCTCAAATATAAAATATATTTTGATTTGTTTAACACTTTTTTGGTTACTACATGTTTCCATATATGTTATTTCATAGTTTTGATGTCTTCACTATTATTCTCCAATGTAAAAAAAATTTAAAAATAAAGAAAAACCATTGAATGAGTAGGTGTGTCCAAACTTTTGACTGGTAGTGTATATGTCATCCATTACTAAGCACACATTCAAACCTAGGCCTAGACATGAAGCAGTGGACTTCCACTGCATATTAAACTTTCAAGGACATAAAGCAGGTACCTCACATGCAGGATCAATATTTAAATTAAATCATGTGCATATTTCATTATGTGTTAGAAGGTTTAAGTATTTTGCCCAAATAGCCTATATAGGCTAAGTACTGTTACAATATTTGTTTAATAGGCTATAATAAAACCTGGAGTTGTCTGGAGCAAAACGTTATGCAACAGAAACCGTTTACTCCAAACGAAAAACATTTTCAATGAAAAGGAGAGTTTCTATTGGACAAATTCAGGTAGGTCCCTCTCCGTTTCGTTCCGTTTGCTCTGTTCTCTTCCATTTGGTTCCTAGAGTAAATGGTAAACGGGTTCCGTTACAAAACGTTTTACAACAGACTAAAGTTTTGCAAATCCTACTAATGAATACACCTCAGGGGCGTATTCATTACGGAAACCGGTTCCATCAAGAAGGAAATGGAAGCAAACAGAGTAAAACGAGAGTTTTGCAACAGAATTGGCAGAATGAATACACCCTTGGAATCTAATTCTAAAACAAAGGTAATGGTTTTATTTTGTAAAGGTTTTGTGCAGATCCTAACAGTTATTCAAAACAGAGAACAATTTAAATTAAATATGTGACACCAAATGTATTGTGTAGGCTAAATATGAAAATGTACATGTAAATTGACGTTATTATCAATGTATTCAGTTATGGGGGATGCCTTTTACCGCTTTTCCCACAATGCAATAGTCATGTAAACAAAGGACAACGACAGGAAGGGAGACTGAAAACTTCTAGGTAGCATTAGCTAAGTTTAGCTACAAATGTGCAACTTATTACTTAGTCTGCAAGGGATATTCAATATATATATATATATATATATATATATATATTTATATATATATATATATATATATATATAGTTAGCTTCCTAACCAGTTAGACATAGTTTGTATTGTTTTTCGTTTATTGTCTCGTGTGGGGTCTCTAAAGCCAGTTAGCTAGCTAGATACCTGGCTAGCAGCCTGTCAGAAGCTAGCTAGCTAACGTTAGTGCAGTAACTTAGCTGTCAAAACCAAGCCAAGTGCTTTGATTTCCCAGCAAACTCAGAATGCATTGATCTTGACAGTTTCCTGGGAAAACATTTTTTAACAGAGGATGACAGGTAATATCAAAAGTTAATCGAAGTATGAAAGAAGCTAGCTAGCTAGCCCTCTTTGTTTCTTGAGTGGGCCACCTTACTTAGCTTGCTAGCTAGCTAGCATCCAAACACTTGTACTAGCAGCAGGCTGCATCTGTAGTATCAGGCTTCTTCACTGATATCGCCAGCAGTTGAAAAACAGGCTACTGTATAAAAGTAGCTAGTCATGATTGATAAGACTGTGCGGTAACGTTAAGTATTCATTTAAAAATGTTATTACAACTACTGTAGGATATGTATTATTTGTATTGCCTTGAAGTGGAATAAATTAATGGGGAAATATAATTTTTTTCTTCAGGGATGACTGCTTTTGAAGGACAACCTTTGTTGCCATCCACACATCTATGAGATCCCCACATGTCTGAGGGACTTCCAAAATGAAGAAAATTAGTCTGAAAACAATACGAAAGTCATTCAACCTAAAAGGCAAAGAGGAGGGAGAGGATGTTGTACCACAGCCAAATTCAGCTACCAACTTTTCAACAGATTCAGTGTTTGGAAAATGTTATAGCAAAGAACTTGTTTGTAACGACTTTGATCATGAGGAGGAGAAAAGCCCTAAGAACCGCTCCAAAAGTGAGAGTCTTATGGGATCACTGAAAAGGAGGCTTTCGGCAAAACAGAAAAGTAAAATAAAAGAAAGTTCCACATCCGTAACCTGTGAAGATGACACATTCTCGTGCTCCTCAGCACCCATTTTCTTTAATGATGTCAAATCACAACATCATCTAAGATCTAGTAGTCACCATTATAGCCCCACGCCATGGGCCCTCAGGGCAGCGAATTCTGAGGAAACATGCCTTAGAATGGATGGGAAAGTGAAAGCTATGATACACTCATCAGACCCAAGCCCATCTCTGTATGGCATTCAGAAAGAATTCCCTGACCCCCAGATGGATAGGCCTTTTCAGGATTCATCCGAGAGCACTGAGCCTCAGAATGGTGATATGCATCTAGATATTGATGATGAAAATGTGCCTGCAATCATTGGACTATCACCTCAGAACTATATTCACTATGCAATGCCTTTAGATGATGAACTTGACCTTGCAGAAGGCTTGGATGATTCCTCTCCAATAGATGAGGTGGCTCAGCCTGCGGGCTTCCCTCCTCATGCAGAGGAAGACCCCATTGACCAGGAGGAGCTGATGTCACCAGACATTTTCATGGACCCATCAGTGAATAGACTGCTCTATGAATCTGCAAGTGTCTTGATTCCAGACTCTAGAATATATTCTCCTCTCTCCCCTTTGCTACCTCAGCTACCTGGCAGTCACATCCGAAGGAGTTTCCAAGTATATGGTGGTTCTTCTCACTCACATGGTGCAGAGAGAGTGATGCACCATCTCAACTTTGACCCCAATTCAGCCCCTGGTGTTGGCAGGGTTTATGATGCTGTTCAGCACAGTGGGCCCATGATTGTAACCAGCCTTACAGTAGAGCTAAAGAAACTGGCCAAGCAGGGTTGGTACTGGGGACCTATAACGCGTTGGGAAGCTGAGGAAAAACTTGCCAGCCTACCAGATGGGTCATTCTTGGTGCGAGACAGCTCAGATGATCGTTATCTTTTGAGCTTGAGCTTTCGTTCACAGGGTAAGACCCTCCACACCAGGATTGAACACTCCAATGGCAGTTTCAGTTTCTACGAACAGCCAGATGTGGAGGGTCACATATCAGTAGTGGAACTCATTGAACATTCTATCAGAGATTCTGAGAGTGGAGCCTTCTGCTATTCACGATCTCGTACACCAGGGACTGCAACGTATCCTGTCAGACTGACAAACCCTATCTCAAGGTTTATGCAGGTGCGTTCCATGCAGTACCTCTGTCGGTTTGTCATCCGTCAGTACACACGGATCGACCTTATCCAGAAATTGCCTTTGCCAAACAAGATGAAAGATTACTTACAGGAAAAGCACTACTGAAGGGGTTAAATGAAATGCAATTGTACTTTCTTGCACATTTTAGATAAGTGACACAATGAAATAGGCCTCGTTTTTAATATTTTGGACCCTAACCCAGTGATGTGTCCTCCAGCCAATGCCAGTAACTGGCATGTCTAGTGAGCCATACAGTTATACTCCCCACCTCAAAGCCAAGGATTGAAGCTGAATCTTAATCTGTTTTTTGTTACATTGGATTATTTCTGTAAATTCTGTTTTGATGGACCAAGTGTTTTGTTATATAAAGCATGTAAAAAGAAAGAAAGAATGTCGCACACTCTAAATATGCTCCCAACAATTTGGGTACAACCAAGTTTCGGCACGCAGTGCCTTCTTCAGGGTGTCAGTTAGTCAGCTCCTCTGCAAACATTTTTGGGTGTGTGTCAACTCATGCTTTTTACTAGATTGTTATATAAAGCACAAAGACATTATCTAATCATTACTACACTCAACATTTCCTCATTATCCTATGTGGTTTGTTGTCCTACATAAAAACAGTTTGTAAGTAGTCTGTAGCTAGTATGATTTTGATACCTGAAAGTTATCTCTGCTGAGTCTTTATAGTTAGTAAAGGTTCTTTTTCCCTTTCTTTCATTGATGGTTACTCATTGCATGTGAATTACATTGAGTATATAATATTAGATTACCACACACCTGAAGCTATGATTTGGAAGAACTAATCGTCATTGACTGTGTATAACCATATAGGGATAATGGCTTGTTTGTGTAGCCTAAACTTGACTGTTTGCCTGTCACTGTAAGTATAAGTTACTTTTCAGATCATGAATTGCTACCTATGGTAGAATACTTGGTATGGTATGTCTCACCTAAACTTACTTTTTTGAAAGGCTGTACACAGTTTTATTGTACATCTTGAATGCAGTTAAAGGAGGGGTGTTTATTACTGTTAATAAAGGACTTATTCACAGATAACATAGTCTGGCTGTATGTTGTTAATTATCATCATACAGAAAGTTTTCATTTGAAAATGTGACTCTGAACTTAAAATGATGCAATAGATATTTAAAATGTCAGGGCTTCTCAGTCTACAGAGATCATGAATCCTCCTCCAGTTAAAGTGGTGTTGAAACCTAATCCCACACCCTCTTTGCCAGCTACATCCTCCTCTTCTCAACATGTGTCTCTGGATCTTGTATCTCTCAGGCGACTGGAAAGTAGCCTCAGCCTTGCCAGCTGCCTCAATCACCAGACCAGAGTGGCCTGCTATCTTTATGCGCTATGTATGAACAATGCCTTTTTATAACCAACTTTTAACTACTAACTAATGTCTTTTATTTTACAGTTTTGATTATCCAACAAATCATTTTAAGGGTGAAGTGTTAGGATGAGGCTGAATCTTTTCTTTTTTTAATGAATGGCCTCTGAGAACGGAAGTGGCAGTCGGCCCTCTTGTGGCTTTAATCCCAGGTGATGGCACTGAAACTGCAGTAATAAGCCTAATATTAATAAAATATATGTTAGTTTTTTGATGATTTAATAGAGGTTGTAATTGTAGCAATAACAATCATTGTATGTTTTATTTTCCATCAAACCACCCATAGGATACAGAGTCAAACAGTAATCACAGTACTTACAGCGGGTTCTTTGCCCTGCAGAAGTTTGTCACATTGATGCTTTATTCTGAAAGCTATGCCATCTGCCACCACTAACCCCAGAGGGATTCTTATCCAGCGCTGCATGTATCTTCTTCGCATTAGAGGGCTTCTTATGCAGCACAGTTTCGGATAATACTGTGGAACTCCATGCATGCTCATCCAGTGACAGCTTCACTGAAGGAGGAGATTACTTTGAGCTGGCTGCCTACACATGCAGATGTGACCAAATATTGTGTTTGCCAATCAGGATGAAGATTGAATCTGTCCTTGGTGGATATGGAAAGGATGTTTTTTTATTTTATTTACATATTTAATTTTTTTCCTTTATTTAACTAGGCAAGTCAGTAAAGAACAAAATCTTATTTACAATGACAGCCTACCAAGAGGCAAAAGGCCTCCTGCGGGGACGGGGGCTGGGATTAAAACGTGGACGGGGGCTGGGATTCAACTTCCATGTCAAAGAGTTGCCATGGGAAAATGGGCTTGTGATTAATTCAATAAGATCTAATGAAGAATATGAATATAATAATGGCAAAGAAATGTTAACATACACTGCAATATACACAGAGTATACAAAACATTATGATCACCTGCTCTTTCCATGACATAGATTGACCAGGTTAATCCAGGTGAAAGCTACGATCCCTTATTGATGTAATTTGTTAAATCCACTTCAATCAGTGTAGATGAAGGGGAGGAGACAGGTTAAAGAAGGATTTTTAAGCCTTGAGACAATTGAGACATGGATTGTGTATGCGTGCCATTCAGGGGGTGAATGGGCAAGACAAAATATTTTAAAACCTTTGAACGGAGTATGGTTGTAGGTGCTAGGTGCACTGGTTTGTGTAAAGAACTGCAACGCTGCTGGGTTATTCACGCTCAACAGTTTCCCGTGTGTATCAAGAATGGTCCACCACCCAAAGGACATCCAGCCAACTTGACACAACTGTGGGAAGTGTTGGAGTCAACATGGGCCAGCATCCCTGTGGAACGCTTTCAATACCTTGTAGAGTCCATGCCCAGACGAATTGAGGCTGTTCTGAGGGCAAAAGGGGTGGGGGTGCAACTCAATATTAGGAAAGTGTTGCTAATGTTTGGTATACTCAGTGTATAATTCTAAAATACCACTTTTATGATGAATTCAGACAATCTTAATTAAAGAATACTCTTGACGAACAACGATGTAGAGAGCTAATACCTGCCTATTCAGTTAATCAGGATAAGGTAAAGACTAAATAAGGCTGTGTTTACACAGGCAGCCCAATTCTGATCTTTTTGCAACTAATTGGTCTTATGACCAATCAGATCAGATATTTTGCCCATAGTTGGGCACAAGATCAGAATTGGTCTGCCTGTGTAATGTGTAAACACAGCCTAACAGCTTTGAACAGATGCCCTTATTCATTATTTATACAGCGCCTCTGTGAACCATTAGGGGGAGATTTTCCCAACTGTCAGCAGGAAGTTCTAGGCGCACAATAATAACACACTCACAAGGAATAACACTGTCCCTCTATCACAGACCTATCGAAACATAAACAACTGAACAATGAATGGAAACTGTTTCCAAATACTAGTGCTCATTGTCAAGGTAGATGCTACGGCAAGCGGTACCGGAGCGCCAAGTCTATCGTCAAGTCTAGGTCCAAAAGGCTTCTTAACAGTTTCTACCCCCAAGCCATAAGACTCCTGAACAGCTAATCAAATGGCTACCCAGACTATTTGCATTGTCGTCGTGTCCCCCCCCCCCCCCACCCCCCCCCCCACCACACACACCTCTTTTACGCTGCTGCCACTCTCTGTTTATTATCTATGCATAGTCACTTTAACTCTACCTACATGAACATATTACCTCAATTACCTTGCCTAACCTGTGCCCCCGCACATTGACTCTGTACCGGTACCCCCTGTATATAGCCTCCCTACTGTTATTTTACTGCTGCTCTATAATTATTTGTTATTATTATTATTATTATTTCTTTTTATTTGTTATTTTTTACTTATCTATTTTTTACTTAACACTCATTTTTCTTAAAACTGCATTGTTGGTTAAGGGCTTTTATGTAAGCATTTCACTGTAAGGTGAATCTACACCTGTTGTATTTGACAAATACAATTTGATTTGATTTGGCTATTTAATTATTTAGGCCTAAATGTGTAGATATCTCAAGATGTAAAAGAAGGGTCGAACTTTTAAGAAACATTGATGTAACTTCAGTGAATATAAGGTAGCCTATCTATTAAAAAACCAACCCAGACCACCATAACAAAATACATATTTTTGAATAAACTTCAGAATAAAATGTGTGTGGTCAACACTGTGAGAAGCAGATGGAATGATATAATTCAACTGAGACAATCTAAGCTATAGAGAAAGAAGTCTGTACGTTTTTGCCACTTCAGGCCAATTAAAAAACAATACAAGTCTTCCAATGAAGCAGAATGCAAATTGAGCAGAATCTAAATGACTCGTTGAAGTAACATAAACCATGTGGTGATTTAGAGACAGTGATAGAATAGTATTTCATTAAAACACTGGAACAACTATAGATCACCTAGAAGAAATACAGCGTTAGCATATTCCTGACAAGCAATACATCTAGCATATCCTTTGTTTTGGTATATTCTTGCAAGAAACATTATGAAGTAGTTCTTATACACTGAGTGTACAAAACATTAGGAACACTTTCCCATGACATAGACTGACCAGGTGAATCCAGGTGAAAGCTATGATCCCTTATTGATGTCACCTGCTACACCCACTTCAATCAGTGTAAAATATGAAGGATTGTGTATGTGTGCCATTCAGAGGGTGAATGGGCAAGACAAAATATTTAAGTGCCTTTGAGAGGGGTATGGTAGTAGGTGCCAGGCACACCGGTTTGAGTGTGTCAAGAACTGCAACACTTCTGGGTTTTTAATGCTCAACAGTTTCTCGTGTGTATCAAAAATGGTCCACCACCCAAAGGACATCCAGCCAACTTGACACAACTGTGGGAAGGATTGGAGTCAACATGGGCCAGCATCCATGTGGAACGCTTTAGACACCTTGTAGTTTTGAGGCTGTTCTGAGGGCAAAAGGTGGTGCAACTCAATATTAGGAAGGTGTTCCTAATGTTTTGTACACTCCGTGTAAACGTCTATGGCTGCGTTTAAACATGCAGCCTAATTCTGATCATTTGACCAATCAGATCAGCTCTTTTGCCAATAATCTGTCAAAAGATCAGAATTGGGCTGCCTATTTAAACGCAGTTTATGATACCTTTTTGCAACCAGTTACTTTCCAGTATAAGAGGATAACCAGCATTCTGTGTGCCAAGTGTTTCCCAAGAGAGTTAAGTCAGGGTTAACTAGGTACAGCCAGGATCAAGGTCGGCTGGGTTTCTGGGAAAAGGATACTTCCCATCTCAATATGAAAGGGCAAATCCACATGATGTTTCAAAGAGAGGAATGATTATGGACTTTTACGTGCCAGGTGTCAGCATAGTGCAGATTGGTTTTGTCCTTGGTCATTCCACTGCTCTCAGTGTGAACTCAGAGGCAGAGGACAGACATCAAAAGGCTACAGCCATGGTGTCACGCTGAGGAGCTGTTGAATTGGTGCTTTTCACCATCTGAGTACTTTATTCTGAAGGCACGGGTGCATGCTCACCAGACGTGACTGCTGCTGGCGTAGACAGAGAGAGAGTGCGAGAGTGCGAGAGTGCGAGAGAGAGAGAGAGAGAGAGAGAGAGAGAGAGAGAGAGAGAGAGAGAGAGAGATTATAATGTCAAGGTAAATGATACATGTGTCATATTAATACACTCTTAGAAAAAAAGGGTTATTTGGCTGTCCCCATAGGAGAACCCTTTTTGGTTCCAGGTAGAACCCTTTTGGGTTCCATGTAGAACCATCTGTGGAAAGGGTTTTACATGGAACCAAAGAAGGGTTCTACCTGGAACTAAAAAGGGTTCTTCAAATGGTTCTCCTATGGGGACAGCTGAAGAACCATTTTAGGTTCTAGATATCACCTTTTTTTATAAGAGTGTATAGATAGGTGTAATGAAAACTCTATGTACTCCCTCTCTCTCTAACACACACACACAGGTTCTAGTCAGTTGTCTTTATTTAGAGGTTAAACTGTCCAGTACATAATATCAATGTGCAGTATATGTTTTTTTAAATTATTACACTATTTCAATTACACTACTGCAACAACGTTGGCACTAGAGCCAACATTCAATTGCCACCTGTTGGCTCGATGCGCTTTGCGGCTTCAGCACCACAGACAGCTACCGATTATATCTTCGTCTCCGTTGTCAGGTCCATGGATAGCGACTGAATCGGTGCAACTGACATTCGCTGACAACAGGCTACTCTTCGCAATTTATATCATATTATACCAACAATCAGTCACATTCAGCAATACAAATCCCAACCTCATAGCACTGAATAATTTTGTCATAAATTACCAAAATAGCCTACTTTATCTCACAGTCGGTTATACATTTCTTCATAATTAAAGTCCAAAGAAGGGTGGCCAACATCCTTGAATAAAATAAGAAATAGTCACTTTATTTGAGACTTGTGATTAGAGTGGAAACACCAGGAATCCAGAAAACGTTGAGTACCTCCATCCACCCATTAGATTTCCCCGCTCAAGCTTCAAGTATAGTTTGTCCTCGCGTTCCAGGTGCAGAAGAACTGAATTGCTCGCAGCCTCTCGAGTGACATCCTGGTCCCCGGCGAAAGCTGATATGATAGGATACTCGTTGTGCATCAAGTTCACCTGCAGAATGCAATGCAACGGATATGTGATACACAACAAAAACAAGTTCACAATTGGCGTCTCAACTTAATTAAGACCTCTCTTTGCACTCACCTGTATAGTCTGCCGGTTGTAAACCTTCACCACATGGAAGCTGAAACTGTAAATGCCTCTTCTTGGTGCTTGAAATACACTTGCTTGCAGATCAAAATGGTTGCCAATGTTTACTAATACCTGCAAGAGAAAATAAATCCCAAATAGTACAAACACGTACATTATGAAGATTATGCTAATTTGAAAAAACTAAGAATAAAATAAACAATTAATCCCTGACCTGATCAAAGTAGATGGTCAGAGACGTATTGCTCATATCAGAAGGTTCATGGTTGGTTCCCCTGAGCGCAGAGAAAGCCACTTTAGCACCGCCTGCCCGGACAGATATCCCGAAGGAGGAGGTCAGCGCTCCCTCTGCAGATGGGTTTGCGTCACAAACCACCAGACACTTTCCCTCCAAAACAAGAGGCTCCGTGTCATTCTGTCCCAACGAAAAGGCAACGCCAAATCCTAGGAGGACCAACGGCAGCATGGCACAAGATCGACTGTTACACCGTTTATGGGGTGCGACTGCTCTGCTCTCAGGCAATCAGTCCCCCTTCACCCCCCCCCCCCCCCCCCCCTCTCTCTCTCTCTCTCTCTCTCTCTCCTTACTCACACACACTCACATACGCACACTCACACACACACACAGTATGCATAGTGCAGTGTCAAGGCTGTGATATGAGTTACACTTGCACCATCAAGTGGCTGGCAAATGCAACACGAACATGTAGGCCGGCCTGTATCTGTCTATATAAAAGAGGAGAGTTGAAAGTATATGGTAGTACTAGTCTGTTCTCTGTCACGGCTTCCGCCGAGGCTGTGCACCCTCCTGGTTCAGGCAGGCTTCGCCGTTCGTCGTCACCGGAGTACTAGCTACTGCCGATCCCATTCTCATCACTCCACTTGTCATGTCTTGTCAATCACACACACCTGGTGCTCATTCCCCTAATTAGTATGTGTATAAGTGTTCCCTCTGTTCCCCTTGTCTTTGTGAGTGATTGTTTGTTGTGAGAGCGTGTAGCGCGATTGAGCTACTATTCACTGTGTTTATGCCAAGGTGGATGTTTTCCCTTGTAATAGTTTCGTTTGACGCTTGGGGCGTTTGATTTATGTAAACGGAATAAACTCTGGACTTCGGTATTTTACCTCCTGCGCCTGACTCCTCAATATTACCTACTTTTTATTCTTGAAATTATTGCTTACCATATTGAAACAGATGGCATGTCTGACGATAACTTTGTTTATTCTCAAATCTCTGAAGTCTATTAAAGCTACAAGATAAAGACTTTAATTTCTGGTTTTGGATTAGCTCCATAATAATCATGTAAATTGGTCAAAATACTATGTTTTGTAGACAAAGTTACAGTACATCAGAATGATTGTTTAGTGGGGAGAGTGGAGGGACTCCTGAAAGACACACACACACACCACACTGGCCCTGATATTCCAAGCATGGAGCAATTGCGTGTGACTCCATGCAGATAATATTATGTAATTACAGATTTGATACTTAGTGTGCAGGCAGTGGTCTAAGATTGGATAGACTGTGCAGGCAGAGGTCTCAGATTGGCTAGACTGTACAGGCAGTGGTCTAAGATTGGATAGACTGTGCAGGCAGTGGTCTCAGATTGGCTAGACTGTACAGGCAGTGGTCTAAGATTGGATAGACTGTGCAGGCAGTGGTCTCAGATTGGCTAGACTGTGCAGGCAGTGGTCTCAGATTGGCTAGACTGTGCAGGCAGAGGTCTCAGATTGGATAGACTGTGCAGGCAGTGATCTCAGATTGGCTAGACTGTGCAGGCAGTGGTCTCAGATTGGCTAGACTGTGCAGGCAGTGGTCTCAGATTGGATAGACTGTGCACGCATGTGGTCTCAGATTGGATAGACTATACGGTATTATGCCTTTGTCACAAACGTTGAGAGACGGGTCGGACCAAGGTGCAGCGTGAAAAGCGTACATGTTTATTAACTAAATAAACATTCAACAAAACAAGAAACAACGTAACGTGAAGTCCAAAGGGCTATACACATACCAGCCTCACAGGAACAAGATCCCACAATACACAGTAAGCAATAGGATACCTAAGTATGATCCCCAATCAGAGACAATGAGCGACAGCTGCCTCTGATTGGGAATCATACCTGGCCAGACATAGAAATAGAAAACTAGAACATAAACATAGAATATCTAACATAGATTTCCACACCCTGACTCAACAAACTAGAGTTCTATAGGTCAGGGCTTGACAGCCTTCTTATTAGTTACATAATGCCTTAACCCTAAAAGTGCCAAAAGGAGTCAATTTTGACCAAGGGTTACAAAAGGACAATTTCAAAATCCTTTTTTGTCCTTCTGAAATTTTAGGACATTGTCAAGCAACTATTTACCAACAACAAAAAAAAAAAGATTAAACATGTGTTAATATGGAGGAATGAAAAACACTATTTTCTATACTAGTGGTGCGTGGATAAGATGAAAATGTGGACTCAATGGTAAACTTTGTGATAAAACCACTAAATTGGGTAGATGTACAGTGTCTTCATAAAGTATTCACACCCCTTGACTTTTTCCACATTTTGTTGTGTTACAGCCTGAATTTGAAATGGATTAAATTGAGATTGTGTCACTGGCCTAGTGGAATTGTGTTTTTAGAATTGTTTACCAATTAATAAAAAATGAAAAGCTGAAATGCCTTGAGTCAATAAGTATTCGACCCCTTTGCTATGGCAAGCCTAAATAAGTTCTGGAGTAACAATGTGCTTAAAAAGTCACATAATAAATTGCATGGACTCTGTGTGCAATAATAGTGAAAACATGATTTTTGTATGACTACCTCATCTCTGTACCCAACACATACAATTATTATCACGTTTCAGGAGAAGACCCAGATGCAGACAGTGTCGAAGTAACAAAAGTTTATTACAAAAACAGGTGGCAGGCAAACGACAGGTCAAGGGCAGGCAGAGGTCAGTAATCCAAATCAGAGTCCAAAAGGTACAGAATGGCAGGCAGTCTCAGGGTCAGGGTCAGGGTCAGGGCAGGCAGAATGGTCAAAACAGGAACTTGAAAACGACAGGAGCAAGGGGAAACCCGCTGGTAGGCTTTACGAAACAAAACAAACTGGCAACAGACAAACAGAGAACACAGGTATAAATACACTGGGGATAATGGGGAAGATGGATGACACCTGGAGGGGGGTGGAGACAATCACAAAGACAGGTGAAACAGATCAGGGTGTGGCAATTATCTGTAAGGTCCCTCAGTCGAGCAGTGAATTTCAAACACAGATTCAACCACAAAGACCAGGGAGGTTTTATAATGCCTCGCAAAGAAGGGCACCTATTGGTAGATGGGTAAAAATACAAAATCAGACATTGAGTATCCCTTTGAGCATGGTGAAGTTATTAATTACACTTTGGATGGTGTAATACACCCAGACACTACAAAGATACATGGGTCCTTCCTAACTCAATTGCCGGAGAGGAAGGAAACCGCTCAGGGATTTCACCATGAGGCCAATGGTGACCTTAAAACAGTTACAGATTTGAATGGCTGTGACAGGGGAAAACTGAGAAATGGATCAACAACATTGTAGTTACTCCCAGGGGCGGCCTGTTCAATAGGGCGATATGGGCGACGCACTGCCAAATTTTTTTTCTAATCAATTATATCACGGCAACAGTAGTTATCAGTGTTGTAATCTAGACGTCTAATCTGCCACAGTGCCACACTGCCACTAAATGTCCAATCATGCTAAAGTCGTGCTTCAAATGGCCACCCCCCCTTTTGGGGCGATTTCAGTCAGGTTGAAAATCGCCCAGAAGTCTGTCATAGACTCCCATGTAAAATCTATTTTTTTCAAATTTCAGAGCTTTCAATACAATCTCTATGGGTGTCTGAGGGCTTGCACTTACGCGCTTTCGTCATACGTAACGTAACCATGAACGTAACTAAGAAAAGAGCGGGTATGCAACTCGATTGTGTCTTTGAAAGAAGTTCCTTTTTGTCGGCGAACAAATGAAGATAAATTGGCAACGAAACAATTAGGACCTCCCAGACCAAATTTAATAATTCAACAGGTTTCTACTAAAGGCGGAAAGTCCTACACCCGAGGATTTTCCAAAAATTGGTACGAACGAAAAAATAACATTGCCACTCAACTGGATGAGGGATACAGGCTAGCTGTCCGCCGCCACAACGATGAGGTTAGTGTTGATAATCACAAGTTTACTGGAGAACTGAGACCAAGTAGAGACTTTGGACAGGGTGGATATGGTATAATAAAGGCAGTTTATTCAGAGGTAAAGATATCTGGAATCGCGTGCACGGACCCGTTCGTCAAACTCTTAGGGAGCTATACATTAAGCCCCATTACTTACCATATCAGATAAGAGAAATTGCTGCAGCTACATATATTTTACATCCTGGCCCTACATAGTTCACTATTTGCATCACTTACCAAAATATTACATGTGGTCATATATGCTTGGAAAGTGGAGATGCCATAGAACGTCAAAAAAGTAAACATTGCTGGAGACACATTGCCATTTTGGAGAAGACATCGCGTTTGCTAGCGAAGAGATTTGTTGTGGCAAATGAACTTGGGCTGGGAATTGACAGGAACCTCACGATAAGATATATGCATTGCGAGTCTCATGATTCTATACGTATTGCGATTCGATACTGTGTTTATATTGCGCACCATATGTCTGTTGCAGAGGGATCAGAAAGCCATGAGAACGAGTTTTGATCAGTCATGGAAATAAAAGTGCTGAAAACAAATTGGCTCCCAATGTGAAAAGATTGAGAACAAGCTATGAAGGAACAATAATGGTGTTTTGGTGCAGGTACAGCCAACTAGCGCTAAAATATTGCGATATTGTCAATACAGTATATCGTAAAGTATCACTATGTAACTCGATTTCTTTCACCCCAATCCCTCAAATTAACGGTAAATAACTGAATTGTTTGCCCCACATTTAGCTAAGATGATTAGCTAGCCAGCTAAAATGTTTTATTTAGTTAGCAGTCGCATCTACAATAGTTTACTGTCAATAACATGTCTCCAAAAATGACGTGGTGTCTCCAATTGTGTTGACATTTTACAATTGCGATGCGCATCCATGAGTATCCACTTTCTGTAGCTCAGCTGGTAGAGCACGGCGCTTGTAACGCCAAGGTAGTGGGTTCGATCCCCGGGACCACCCATACACAAAAATGTATGCACGCATGACTGTAAGTCGCTTTGGATAAAAGCGTCTGCTAAATGGCATATTATTATTATTATTATTATTATTATCTGAAGAGAGCCCCGAAACATTGTGTGCAGACATTTTATGCAATAAATGAAGTAGGTTGAATCTAGTAGTTCTGATCTTCTGATTGGTCCTGATGAGTTGGGCGAGGTCCCCTCCAGGCTACTGTCACTGTTGCATTGGCTCTGAGTCGGGTTCTCTGTCTTCAAATGTTCAGCCTAAGAGAGGGGA